CTGCGCCACCAGGGAGGGCCTGAAAAAAAATTTTTTTAATGTGTAATTGGGAGAAATGATCTAACGGAGCAAGTGTGGTATCCTGAAATTAGGGTATTTTAGGTTATAAGAAAAAGCTGTTCCATTCTAATTACCAGGCTTTGAACCAGTAGGACAGTCATTATTTAACTGGGTCTTCTGGCCTATGGGAGTAATTCTCAGTTAATGCTCATTGTGGATATGTTTTTTGCATAACGTAGTATTAGAAACTGTAGGGAGTTGAATTCTCACATCCTAACATAGGATGTACATGGAAAATCATTAGGAAATTGTGGTTGATTAGAATCTTTTTTTTTTTTAAGATTTATTTATTGATGCACTCAGAACTGGGGTACAGGCCGGAGGTATGAGGGATGAGAGAATTCACCAGACACTGACTGAACTATACTGCTGAGGAGAGCAGTGAATGAGATAGGCGAGGTCTGCTGCACCATGTGGGTCACCTCCCTGGCAGGGGACTGAACTCGTGCTGAAGTACCTGCGACTAACTTTGCAGTGCTGTGCTTTAACCCTTTGCAGTACCAGGTAGGGCCCTGATTAGAATCTTAGTAGAGAAATGCTGATGATTTGGAAATAGTGGTTAAGTTACGAGAGAGCAACTAGAGTTATAAGGTAATTACAAACCTAGGATATGTGAGTGTAATATTAGGAATATCCTGAATGGCATTTAGAGACTGCTTTCCCCATTTTAAAACTGGAAGAAGAGTGATTAATTTTCTGAGTTTTGCAAATTAAAAAACATGAATAGGGCCCTTCCTGGTGGTGCAGGTGTTTAAAGCACAGCACTGTAAAGCCACTGCAGCATGAGTTTGATCCCTGGCCAGGGAGGTGACCCACATGGCACTGCAGACTTCTATCGCACTTGCTACTCCCCTCAGCGGTGTGTTTCAGTCAGTCTGTTCTGTTCCCTACTGTCTCTGGCAAAATCTCTCACCCCACCTACCTCTGACCTGTACCCCAGTTCTTGTATGCCTAAATAAATAAATGTTAAAAACAAAAACACAAGTAAAACACTGGTATAATAATATCTAGAAATGATCATTTCTTATAAATGAAACTTCTTATACTTTCAGTAGAGGAATATATGACCCATAGGTACATTATTTTAGGTAGTGCATATAAAGATGAATTGTAGTAAGGGATGAGAGAAAATGAAATATTTGGGGGCTTGGGAGATGTTTGAATGCTTAGTTGGGACAAGACTTTTAGGTGAAAGAGGAAGGAGAGGTCTGGCGAATACCCTTGCTTACTTCACGTGTCATGTTATATCATCGGCACATGCTCATAACCTGGCAACATGATGGGCATATATTTGTAATAAAATTCACCCTCTTGAATTAGATGTCCTCTTGTCTCTCATGTTCCTAGCTCAGTTTTCAGTTCAGAAAGTCACTCCTCAGTCTGATGGCTCCAGTTCAAAAGTGAAAGTCAAGGTTCGAGTAAATGTCCATGGCATTTTCAGTGTGTCCAGTGCATCCCTAGTGGAAGTGCACAAATTTGAGGAGAATGAGGAACCGATGGAAACAGATCAGAATTCAAAGGAGGAAGAGGTAACTGGACATTTGGAAGCATTTCACACTGATTTATGATGGCCCAGTGGTGACTTGTGTAGAAATTATGTTACAGAGATTGGTGACAGTGAACAAACACTGATCAAAGCTGCTGAGAGTTGGTTTGTATGCACTCCCTTACCAACTGTGGGCGAAATGTCATGAAAGTCTTTATATAGAAATTAACAGAGATGGAACCGTTCTACACTGGTTGGTTGGAAACATGTCCTATGTTTTGTCCTTTTATGCATAAAAATCAAGTTTTTATGAAATTACAAATGTTTGGGTCTCATCCCTAGAGATTTTTTTTGAATTGGGTCAGGGTTAGGGCTAGGCAGCTTTAATAGCCTTTGAGGTCTTTGTGTTCTGCAGTAGGTATCAAAAGCCACTGACCAAGAACGTTTTCATCATTATTGTCCACCTTTGTTAACTTAATCGAAGTCTTCCTTTATGCATACAATAGCATACTTTTGAGAGTAGGGAAAATGCTTTAAAGAAGGTAAAGATGAGAGAAATTTATCTTGAGGTGTGGTGGTGAAGAAATTCATGCAGTCTTCAGATTATATTGTATCAGACATTTCCACAGTGCACAATACTTTATGGTATACAAAGTAATTCTATAGTCACTCCTATTTTTCTGTGTTGATAGAGCAGGTTAAGTGTTGCTGAGATCCATCAGGAAAAATCCCACCTGTGAAACAGCTGTCTGTCACAGCTGGAATTTTAGTGTAGGTCTTCCGATAACTTGTGTTCAGTAGGAATTACACACATCCCATATGATTTTTACCAGTGTAAGGCTGCTTAGTCTTTGACTAGTATTTCCTAGTTGTAGGCATTTGATGTGACTGTTTTTCAGAAGATGCAAGTGGACCAGGAGGAGCCACATGTTGAAGAGCAGCAGCAGCAGATGCCGGCAGAGAACAAGGCCGAGTCTGAAGAAATGGAGGTACGTGTTGGGTTTTAGAGTATGAACAACAGCCTCTCACATACTTGGTTTTGACTGTGACTTGGAAGGTTAAGGTATTCAGGATTCTTTATTTGAACAAGATCTTAACAAGGTTCATTTACAGAGTATTTGGAAGGTATGTTTGGCAAGGTAGTTTTTGAGCTCTATTCTAGCTGGTTATGTGTGGGTATAAGAGCATTCAGAAACCCTAGTTCCACTAAGCTCGTGATTGGATGCTGGATTTTCAGTGGCAGTGAATGCTTGCTAATGCCCATTATTACTGTTACAAAGAATGACACATAATTCTTCAAATTATGTCAGCTCTGTGAAGCTTGGTTTTTGTTAACAGATACTGTTTTAAGCTACCATGTATTTACATATATTTCGTAAATAATGTGTTATATTTATCTCAAATAGTTATCTTGGTGAATACATAACATTTTTGAATCCTTTACAATCTGCTTTTTAATTCTAACTCAAGTTTTTTTGTTTTTTTTTTTTTAAAAGATACATTGACTTATAAGAACTGGAGTACAGGCCTTGAGATGTGGGGGTGAGAGTACTCACCAGAGACAGAGTGGGGAGCAGAATAGGGAGATGTACTGAAAAATACTGCTGAGAGGAGCAGCAAGTGAGGCAGGAGAGGTCTGCCGTGCCATGTGGGTCACCTCCCGGGCTGGGGATGGAACTTATGCAGTGGTTGTGGATAGTCTCATATTGTTAAACTTTAACTGGTTGCACCACCAGGGAGGGCCCCCAACTCAAGTTTTTGTGTTTAAACTTTTTTAGTCCTTTTTTTTTTAAAAAAACATCTGGGGTATAAGCCAGAGGTATGGGGGATGGGTGGAGAGAATTCACCAGAAACAGAGTAGAGAGCAGAATAGGCAGATCAGCAGAAATACACTGCTGAGGGAAGCAGTGGGCAAGACAGGAGAGGTCCGCTGGGCCATGTGGGTCAGCTCCCTGGCCCTGGATTGAACTTGCTGCAGTGGCTCTGGAGAGCTTCATAGTGCTGCGCTCTAACCCTTGTGTCACCAAGAATGTCAATGTCCACATGGATAATATTTCATACTAATTTTTCTTTAAACTGATAAATATGTTTGTATTTAGAAAAGAAGGGGGAAAATGAGAAACTTAATGGTGATTACATGTTTGATTGTGGATCATGGCTGATTTTTCTTTTAAAACACACATACACACAACACATATGGTTCAGTATTGACATAACCAATCTCCAGTACTGAAACACTAGACCCACTAAACAACAATTCCCTGGTACCACCCTTCCTTTCTTTTTGCGGATTTGACTATTCACATAATATTTTTGCTTTTAACTGTACAGATATTTTAAAAATAATCCTAGGTTTTTTCATTCATCAGAATGCTAAGTCATTGAAAAAGCAAAGTGTGACACATTTGGAAATTTGGGATAATTTTGTGTGTTTATTTTTAATGATTTCTGTTATTATTTTAGACTTCTCAAGCTGGATCAAAAGACAAAAAGATGGACCAACCACCTCAAGCCAAGAAGGCAAAAGTGAAGACCAGTACTGTAGATCTGCCGATTGAGAATCAGCTGTTATGGCAGATAGACAGAGAGATGCTCAACTTGTACATTGAAAATGAGGTTGTTATTTCATGTTAGTTTGAACAATAGGTTAACAATTCTACATTAGTAATTAAACTCTGTGTCTAGCATTTTTAATACATTTTAGTTGGCGTTTGAGAAAATAATCTTAGATTTGTGGGTGTTCTAAAGGCAAATGTAATAGATCTTAAGATTATGGTGATATTTGTTAGAAGCTCTGTTATGAGAGCTTGACATTAAGTTTTTAGGGGAGGTACAAATTATTTTTAGGTATGAATATGTTCGCTAGGTATTGGGATATTTGAGGTGATAGACTGTGAAAGGTGATTGGTAGGCAAAAATCACATGGCATTAATAGTAGCACAATTTATTAAGCTCATTGTCTGTGACTAGTCAATGTGTAACAATTGTTCTAGTTCTGTATAAGGTTTGTGACTCCAGGACACATGACTTTGTGAAGTTTCTTATGTATGCACTGGATCTTAGAATAATTTTTATAGGACCTTGAATATTTATATTAATAAGTTTGATTTTTCCTTGGTATGCTCTGGTAATAATACAGCAGAGTATATCCTACCTTCTGACATTGAACTAATAGTTTCTTAAAGCGCTCAAAATCTTTTCCTTAGGATTAATTTGGGTAATTTGTAGAGCTAATAGGATTTGGGAAAGAAAGACTCTTATAATTAATTTATACTGTTCTCAGGGCAAGATGATCATGCAAGATAAACTAGAGAAGGAGAGGAATGATGCTAAGAATGCAGTAGAAGAGTATGTGTATGAAATGAGAGACAAGCTGAGTGGTGAATATGAGAAGTTTGTAAATGAAGAGGTAAGTATGGGCCATTTTGTGTTTTCAGGGAGCATCTTTCAATGGGTTAGAAGGGAAGTTTGCATCTGTAGGCTTACAGTAAAATATTTAAAAAGGTACTTTTGGGAGAAAATTTTACATGATTTTACTTTGTTTTTCATTTCTAGTGGAATATTTTCTGAAAGTTAGTCTTTGTTGCATCACCTTTTTTTGTGTTATGTGCATTACTTTCAAAACATTGACCTGGTAATTTTTTAAAAAATCAGTTTAAAGAAATGTTTAAAAAACTCTTACCTGATGTTTAACTCACTTTTATTTTCTATTTTTATTTTATTTTATTATTTTTATTTTCTATTTTTTTAAAGATCTGTTTCATTTACTTATGTATACAAAAGTTGGGGTCTAGGCCAAAGGTGTGGGAGGTGAGAGGATCCACCAGAGACAGAGTGGGGAGCAGAGCAGGCAGATTGACTGAAATACACTGCTGAGGGGAACAGCGCATGAGACAGGAGAGGTCTGCTGCATCATGTGGCTCAGCTCCAGCATGAAACTTGAGCCACAGTGGCTGTGGGTAGTGCTGAGACTTAACCCCTTGTACCATCAGGGATGCCCCCTCACTCACTTTTTTTTTTTTTTTTTAGCAGTTTTTTTATTTATGTATCCAGAACTGGGACAGGCCAGAGGTGCAGGGGTGAGAGGACTCACCAGAGACAGTGGGGAACAGACAGACAGATTGCCTGAAATACGCTGCTGAGGGGAGCAGTGGGCGGGACAGGAGTGCTCTGCTGGGCAATGTGGGTCACCTCCTTGGCGAGGGGTCGAACTGGCACTGCAGTGGCTGTCATAGGTTCATGTGTTGTGCTTTAACCCAAAGCACCATCAGGGAGGGCTCCTTACTCACTTTTTTTTTTTTTTTTTTTATATTTATTTATTTATTCATACAGAACTGGGGTACAGGCCAGAGGCTCAGGGGCGGTGAGAGGCTTCACCAGAGACAGAGTGGGGAGCAGAACAGGCAGATCGATGAAGTACACTGCTGAGGGGAGCAGCGGGCGGGTCAGGAGAGGTCTGGCTCGCCATGTGGTCTCCTCCGGGGCAGGCGGCAGGCGGGAATCGAACTCATACGGAAGTGGCTTCAGATTCTCAGTGCTGTGCTTTAACCCGCTGCGCCACCAGGGAGGGCCTCCTTACTCACTTTTAAATTCAGTTTTTAAGTTTGAAATTTGCAGACATACCCAAGTAGCCCCTATGGTGGAGATAATAATACATTAAAATCCCCTTACTTAGTAAGCAAAACATTTTTCTATTGCTGTTTCCTCACACACTTTCCACCCGCCTCCATATATTAAAGCTAATCCTAGTAATTGTAGCCTGTACTTGTGATTCCACTGGTGAATTAGCTGATTTTTGATTGATCTAAATAAATATTTTCTTCCTCTTTAGGACCGTAACAGTTTTACCTTGAAACTTGAAGATACTGAAAATTGGTTATATGAAGATGGAGAGGATGAACCAAAGCAAGTTTATGTTGATAAATTGGCTGAATTAAAAGTAAGTCACTCTTGAAAGCAGAAGTGTCCTGAACCCATGGTATGGTTTCCAAGGACAGTATTTCAGAATGAGCAGGAATTTGCATAGGACGTAATGAAGGCAGGTTGAAAGTGATTCAACAACTATACTCTTAAACATATGTTTCATTATGTTTCAGAACCTCATAGCAACATAATACTTTTTCTGAAAGCTGAATTTAAACTTAAAATGTTTCATTAAATTGGACTTGGTTGTATTAGTGTGTCAAGAGATAAACTGGCACACCCGTGATAGACTAGCACACCGTGTCCCTGTCCGGAGGCCAGCTGCTGTGTTGTGTGTTTAGTTTTGATTCTCAGTCGCTAGGTCATATAATCCACTAAGCCTTAGGGTTGTATGTGCAAAGGATCATCCTAAATTGAGGACTTTTGTTGTGAGGGACATGTGGAATGCATTTGTTGAAGGACAGTGCCTACAATTTATTCCTTTTTTGGTAAGAGTAGCAAGAGTCTCCAGTAGAGATCCTTGCCACTGAGTTTTTTGCTTCACTTTTTATTATGGGAGATACCAGATACGAAAGTAGAGTAATAGTTTTACCTGTTGTCAGCTTATGGCCAATATTGTTCTGTCTGCTCCTCCCCTCCCAGTTACTTGAGGCAAGTCCTTCATGTTCTATTTCATCCAAAAATACTCTGACATATATTTAGAAGAAAATGTAACCTTAAAACTGCCCATTATCACCTCTGTTGATAAAAATATTCCTTAATATCAGCATTAACATCAGCAGTTCTCAGGTTCCAGTTTCATGTGTCACTTTTTTTGTTTTACTCTGGTAAGTTGAAGCTGTCACATGAATGGTTTGTGTTTGTTCTATGAAGAATCTAGGTCAACCTATTAAGATACGATTTCAGGAATCTGAAGAAAGACCAAAATTATTTGAAGAACTAGGGAAACAAATCCAGCAGTATATGAAAGTAATCACCGCTTTCAAAAACAAGGTATCTTCTCTCCCCACCCCTCCTTCTCCTCTGCTCTTACATTGGTAGAGTTACATTTTGAAGTATTTAAAGTTTTTATCTTGCTTAGTATTTGTATATTATTTGCATTTTAAAATGTTTTCTATTTTTTTTGGGGGGGCGTTAGTGTAGTGTATGTATGGTGTTTTATAGACTCTTATTAGGAACCCTGGCTTTGCCACTTCTCTTTAGTAGATGGACTTTGGAATTGAGCAGTATTATACATTTTCTTATTCTTGTTGTAAAATGTTTTCCACCTAATCTGCTCTATCTTAAAAATTTTTTTTTGAATTTATTAGATCAAAAGTTGATTTCAATGGGCACAGTGCCAAAACTGGAAACAGCAAGGAGCCAGTTTGCTATCCTGGTGTTTCCCAGCGTTTAATTTGGTTATGCTGGTGTAGGATTGGTTCAACCATAAAAAATTGGCAAAATTTTTAATTACTGCATGATTTATGCCCTGTATGTATGTTACTTCATTCAGTCCTATAGTACACCTTGTTAAGTAAGTGGTGTATCAGCTTATGTTCAACATCTTAGCTCTTTTTTAATGATTTAGTTATTTATACATACAAAAACTGGGACACAGGACAGAGGTGAGGGGGGTGAGTTGATTCACCCAAGACAGAATGGGGAGCGGAACAGGTGGATTGACGAAAATAGCAGCGAGTTCTCGAGACAGGGGACCCACATGTGCCATGTGGGTCACCTCCCTGACTGGGGATCAAACTCGTACTGCAGTGGCTGCAGACAGCTTTATAGTGCTGAGACTCCCTGCATCACCAGGGAGTTCCCATGTTAGCTCTTTAAATTTTACTTTCCTTAAGTAATAACCAGGCTCTCTAAATATTGTCAGTGGAAGAGCTTGTCTCTTTTCTACAAAAAACGTTTTGTTTTTGAGACTGCTTTAAAAAGCTGTAGTTGTTATTATTTAGGTTCCTAACTATCATTCTTAAATCGAGGCTATTAGATATTTTAACATGTAATTTCTTACATTATAAAATTATCTTGTTAAAATTTTAAGTATGGCACTCTTTATACTGTTGAAGCTTTTTAATGGCCACCTTATGTATGTTTTGGCCTTTAAGTCTGTTTCCTGAGTGTCATAAAAATTGGGGTTGTTTCCTTTCATGAATTTTAAAGAAATTGAAGATTGAGGTTGTGACACTAACTGTACTTTGTTTTTGGAAAGATGTAACTTTTCGGAATACCCACAGGATAGACGGTTTTTGGGAGGAAGAGTACCCTCCTTTTACATCTGTCTGGTTTACTGCCGGTTGCAGGAGGACCAGTATGAGCATTTGGATGCTGCTGACATGGGGAAGGTGGAGAAGAGCATGAATGAGGCCATGGACTGGATGAATAACAAGCTGAATCTGCAGAACAAGCAGAGTCTGACCATGGATCCAGTTGTCAAAGCAAAAGAGATTGAAGCTAAAATTAAGGTAATTTGTGGCTTTAGATATTTAAATCTTTCTCATCCGCCTTGTTATTTATTATTAGTAGTCATGGAAGTACATGGAGGAGGGAGTTTCATTATTTCATCTTCTCTTTTGGCTTGGGGACTAGGTGGACGAGACTAGATTTGGGTTTGGTGTGTTTTATAAAAATTTGTTATTTTTATAAGAAACCACAACTTTTCCTACCGCCCTAGGAGCTGACCAGTTTCTGTAGCCCTATAATTTCAAAGCCCAAACCCAAAGTGGAGCCTCCAAAAGAGGAGCAAAAAAATGCAGAGCAGAATGGACCAGTGGATGGACAAGGAGACAGCCCAGGCTCCCAGGCTGCTGAGCAGGGTACAGACCCAGCTGTGCCTTCAGATGCAGACAAGAAGCTTCCTGAAATGGACATTGATTGATTCCAACAATTGTTTATATTAAAACAAACAAACAAACTATTATAAAGCTTTAAGTTGTCAACTTTGTTCTAAATATCAACTAGAGCAATCAAATACTGGAGATTTCTTAGTCGGTTTTTAGGGAACTTTGGGGGAGGGGATATAGGTAATGTATGGAGCATTTTGACTTCTAACTAGTTACAGAAATTTAAGTGCATTGTATCTTTTTCATAATGGTACTACTTAGAAGCCCAGTTAGTGTTACTGAGCTTATGCTTCACACCTTTATGTTTAATCATGCTTCTTCAGAGATGAGTTTGTTTTGGAAAGTTCAGCAATAGCAAAAGCTGTACTAGTGATCAAGCAGATTTTTAAGACATATGGCAGGAGAACTCTTAATTGTGCTTCACAAAATCTGTTATGGAGATTGCTACAGAGACTACCTGCCTGGTGTGGGGGTGTGGGGTCTCCTGTCTCGGAGAGCTAGAGCATGGCATGGCATGGATTAACATAGTAGAACCACCAAGGAATGCTCTGAGCTTCTTCACATTTCACTTCACTTCACCTCCATCCCACCCTCTCTGCTCCTCTTCCCCCAGTAAAGGAGTTGTCATTAACAAATGCCATGTACTGCTTCTAGGAAAGTTGACCCCTTTGCCTGGAGCAAGTTGTTCATTGAAGCTTTTAGACCTGGAGACTCTTCCTGAGAAAGTGTGTTTCTGAGAGTATATTAACTAATACTCCAAGCATCAAAGTCTAAATAATTTTCTCTTTGGAAAGGTAGAATCGGGTAGATCAATTTTTGGATGTTTAGGCATGGTAAATTTAACTGAGGAATTGATTCTTGTTAACTATGGTATCAAGATTTGTATCCTGGCCTGCCCATTCATATGAGAGATGTTCCTGCGTATATTTGAGGTAAAGCTTGAAGTCCTAGGACAAGAATTAAAAGTTCTCATTCACAATCATGTGTTAAGTGTTATTCTCTGTCATGAATCTGCCACTTTGTATGTGTTAAACAGTTGACAGATTATACTCAAAATTAAGAGACACTGGATTGTACTGGATGAGTCTGAACTTAGTGTTACAGAAATTGGTGCCTGACGTTACAGCCCCGCCACGTTCTCCTGTGCAGCCAGGTCTGGGGCACCAGAGCATCCCTTGTGACTGTCGTTGGGGCAGTGTGACAGCAGGGAGGCACTTTGGAGAACCTGTATTAGAACTCAGTGCTGGTACCTGCCCTAGAAACTGTTAAACGCTTTGTTGGTTACACTTTGGATCTCTGTAATGATTGTTATTCTGTATAACAGAGTGCCTCTCTGTTAATTTTGGCCTATGTTGTTAGTAAGTTTCTGTCTGTCCCTACACTAAAAAATGTTTGAGAGAGTTAAAAGCTCTAAAGAGTGCTATAGAAAAACAGTTGCTTAGAGAGGAGGAAGATGGAAGCATATTATGTTGGTGTGTAAGCATGCATGGACGCTTTGCAGCACCCTGACTTGGCCCTGTTTCTAGAGCATTCTGTAGCCATGGTGCATCTGTCAGGCTTCGAGTTCCAGCAGGCCTGCTGTGGGGCCAGTGGCTACTTTGGAGTGCTGGCTGGAGGATCAAGCTGCTTCTTAGGCAACAGACACTACTCTTAACGGCCATTTCTTTTAAAACATTTTCTGTGTGGGGGAGGGTGTGGGTGTCGGGTGGGGGTGACTTTGAATTTATAGTTTAAATTAGAAATAGGGGGTGTGGTCTGCTTACACTCTGCTTAGACAGGCTTTAAGACCAATTGTATTTATATGGAGGCCAGGCCAGAGAGGGTGTGTTAATCCACTTTTGTGCAGACAAGCATTTATCCAGGTTGTAATCCAAATTGGTTTGTTAAAGCTCCAGGTCACATTCTTACACTAAGAATAACATTCAGTAAACATGAGACAAGTTTAGGAAAAATTAATAAAAGAATCCTGTCTTACACTCAAATAAATGGTTTTCTTAATTTCATGATTGTGCGTGTTTGTGTATGTGTGAGCGTGTGAGCGCGCGAGAGAGAGAGACAGGGACTTAAAGAACTTCCCAAATGAAAGCCCCCTAAGCTAGATTCTAGCTCACCTTTGTTGGAGGTGTACAGTTTAAACAGGGCTACCTAAAGAACAGTCGAGGTGCAGCACACTTGGTGACAAGAGGCTGTCATTTTTCTGTCATTCTCTCATCTTGAGTCTTGACCCCATTTTCTGATAAATTGACACCTGTGACTGGACCTTAAACTTTGAGCATTTTGACAAGCAGAAAGTGGGTTATGACTCCATAAAGCTGAGAGCCAGGACTGATGCCTGTTCTTTTACTAAAGAACAGGTATGGTTCAGAGTGTTGTAACAGTGGCCAATTTCTGGATATGTAGGGTGTGTTTGTGTCTCTGCTAGTGTGTGTGGGGGATGATGATGATGTTGAATGGGGATGAGGTCGCCAGAAGAGACCCAAACTCCAGGCATGGGGCCTAGATGGTGGGCTGTTAGGCTTCGTTCTTGCTAGTTTAACAGTCTGGTGCTCTGGCTGTGTTAGGGGCTTACCTGCAATGCCTGCCAGGGTCTGGGCCAGCCACCTTCCAGAAACCTTTTTCCTTTGCCTCTGTTCTTGGGAAGAGGAGATCAGCCTGATCAACCAGAAGATGACTTTATTTTAGAGTGTTTGGGCTAGAAAATAACAGCCCTGTTTACCAGTGTCCCTGTGTGTCACTAGGGAAAGGGTGCTGGAAACCATGCCAGGGCTGGTGTGAAGGTTTTAAAATGGGACCACTTCAACTGCACGGGAAGAACTGCCTTCCAGGGTTCTTATGGGGTTGATGAGACTCCAGGCAGACTTTAGATGGAGTCCTTTGCAAGCTTTGAGGGGTTCTGCTGTGGAACACTGGAGGCTATCAAGATCTTTTAGCTTGAGAGTTGGGGGATGCCGATGGGATACATGCAGACTATGCCTGGGAAGGTAAAGTCCACATTTGAGGGGAAGAGCCAGATGAAGGGCTGTCTTAGTATCCAGAAGATTCAAAAGTAACCAACAAGAACTGCTGTTAGAAATTAGTTCAAAGTTCAGGTAATGAGTAGCCTGATGATTATATTGATTTGGTGTTTGATAATACTCAGTACACTTGATCTATTCTAATTAGTGGCTTAACATTTTAACATGAGAAAAGCTTTAAAATTACAGCTTCCTATGTTCAGGAAGAATGTGAAACATGTTTGCATAAAAACCACATGGATGTTTCAAAATGAAACATTTTCATTTCAAAATGAGTCCCTCCTGGCAAGGATTGTCAGCTTCTTTAAATTTTTGCTGCTTTATATTTTCTAGGATTTTCATAGTAAGCATTTAGAAATTTCATGTTAAGAATTTTAGAAGTATTTTAGAAAGCACTGCCCCAGAGTTTCAGACCAAGAATAAAAAACACACAAGGGGCTCTCCCTGGTGGTGCAGCGGATAAAAGCACTGCACTAAGAAGCTTAAGCCACTTCCGCATGAGTTCGATCCCTGCCTGCCCCGGAGGAGATCCACATGGCGCGGCAGACCTCTCCTGACCTGCCTGCTGCTCCTCTCAGCAGTGTACTTCGTCGATCTGCCTGTTCTGCTCCCCACTCTGTCCCTGGTGAAGCCTCTCACCCTCCACATCTCTGGCCAGTTCTGTACAAATAAATAAATCTTTAAAAAACAAAAACACGAAGCTGTAACTCCAGGGGTGGTTGTGGGTGTTGATGGGAGTGTGGCTAAAATAGGCCTTGTTACAAGATGGAGCTGAGCAGGAAAAGAAGCCTCTGGGAGGGGGGTACGTTTTGGGCATAGTGATTCTGTCTAGATGTGCCCGGAAGAGGAATTGGACACTGGAGAAAATGGGGAGTCGCAGAGAGAAGTGATCTTGTGCTAGGCATCTTGAGAAAAGGTGGTGCTGTCCTGCAGGGCTGGGTGCAGTGGGGTGTATTAGAAGCAAGACAGTTGGGCTCTGAGGTTGCAGGCAGACAAGTTTGGCTGCTTGGAGTGAGAACACCGCTTGGGAAGGAAGCTGAGCTGCGTGCTGGGCTCCCTGGCCTGTGGGTAAATGGGGATGGTTTCCACCAGTTGCCTGGAGACCTTGGCAGGCTTGGACTTGCCAGTGCGTGCGTTCTCCCCTGGTTCTGGTTGGAGCAGCCCTGGATATGGCCCTTGACCTCATGTCCTTGGTGACTGGAGAGCACTCTTCTGAGCAGGTGCCCCAAGTGTGGAAGTGAAGGAGATGGTCTCTTGGGCAACAGACTGGGAGACAAAATAGAGAAATGGATGTGTGGAGGTTAAGAGCGACAGGAAAGTGGAGGGGAGTAGATTTCTGGTGGCTTGGGGAGAAAAACATGGTTTCTAGATTTGTCCAGTATCCATGGGCAAGCACCGGGCTAATCCTGATCTCAATCCAGTTTTGCCATGTGGTAGAAAGAAGCGAAGGGAGAATGGACGTAATGTGTACTATGTATTTAAAAGCATAATCGTCTTCTATACAATTAAGACTCTGCTAATACTTGAGGAAATACTTGGGAAAACTTTTGATGGCACAACTTCTAAATTGTAAATCCCAGTGAAGCATTTCTGAGCCTGCTTTGCTTCACGAGGTGGATAAGGATGGCCCAAATGATAGCGTGCCTTTCATCAGTGCCAGTAGAATGGCCATGTGGACCAGGAGAGCCAGCGACAGGCAGGCAGGAAGCCCTCCTGGGCAAGGGGATAAATCCTCCCGCCACACACAAACACACAGTTGCTGTGACATCTGGCCCAGCCCTGTTCACATCCTACAGCTGCAGCAGAGATTACTCTGAGAGCCCAGTACCCCTTCTTCCAGCGTGAAGCCGAGAGCACTGGCACTCGGGGGCCCCATGGAACACACAGTGCAGTACTTGTATTTCAGTGGCTAGCCATGCCCTCTTTCCCCACCCTGAACATTAGAACTAGAAATCCACTTATCCAACCCATCTCTTTGATGATGAGGAAAGAGCTGAAGCAGGTGAAGCTCATGGAGTTGGAATATGACTCCAGCTGTTTTTGAGAAAGGTGAATCTCATGGAAAGTAGTGTGGTTAGAATATGGGGCTTCTGCCCTCTGAAAAAAATTGTTCTGAATATAGCATTCTTGGAGGTTCCCCTGCTTCCTGAGAATCCGGCCCTCAGGCCTGTTGCCCTGCTCTGGCTTTGTGGGAGATACAGCATGAGAGCGGCCACGTGAGGGCAGCATGGCCCTTCCTTTACCTCCAGTCAGAATCCACAGACTTCAGTCCAGGAGGAGTCCGGGAGTTTGGAGAATACATACAGCCATCGTTTCCTCTTCTTGTGAGCCAAAAGCAGAACTAACAGGCCTCCATCTAGAATGCAGTGTTCTTTCATTGGCCTTCACTAGTAATCCCTTAAACCCCTATCTCTCCAAGTGTGGCATCATCTGTTCTAAAAGAATATTGGACTGACCTAGCGCAGAGCTTCAGCTCTACTGGGGATCTTGGTAAAATGCAGACTGTGATCCAGTAGGTCAGAGCAAGCCTGCAGAGTCTATAGTTCTCACAAGCTCCAACTGACACTTATCACGGCCCTAATTTTCACTTGGAAAAACCTGAACTCTAGGACTGTGGTCAGCTTAGAGGTTACAGATTCCAACCTGTGGAACTGGGATCACACCAGTCCTGTGACATAAGATGATGAATGTGGAAGAAATGCCAGATAAGAATAAAGGGTACGAGACTCATGAGTTGCCTTTGTGAAGTCCCACTCAGCTGAACGCGACAGAATCAGGTTCCAGGCTGCAGAAAACTCTTGATGGTGCTTAACTCTGCTAAGGCCCAGGTTTTCAAGGAACACCCTGGAGAAACAACCTTCCTGGCAGCCAAGCCAGCTGGGGTGCACTGACTTTCTTCTGGGGGTGTGGCCAGCAGCCCCAAGCCTGGGAGGGAGAGAGGTTTCTGGCCTGCTACTGTCAGAAAATTGATTCTACCTGGGGGTGGGGGGTGGGGTTTCACCATTTCTTTTGACTTGATTCATTCCTCCTGATTCAGCAAGACAGGCCCAGAGGAGGGGTGGGGGAATGGCGCCAGTGTGG